TCGCCGTCCGCAGTCCCGCTCTTACGGTGGCCGGAGATCGTCCCGCGAGAGATAGGTACTTAATGCCTAGTCGAGTTGACCTTTAGGCTTTAAGTAACAGAAAGACGAGAACAATGGTTTATTTAAATTCAGTGTATTATAATCAAGCCTGATCAGGCAGCTGTTGTATAGGATAGAAGAAAAATATTATGTTTAGTTACAAAATACGTTCCTTTCATTACATTCTAGAATTTTCCTTTATGTTTATAATTACATTACAATATGTTTCATATGAATACAGTTTATTCACATAGCTATTTTATCGAAGTTCGTAATAATGAAGAGTTTGTGCGGTAAACGAAGTCCGAGATTTAAATGCATTTATCTAGATGACCCACTCCTTATTGATCCTAATTTCGTTAATTTTTAATAACATAACTTCACGCCTTTTATCCTTTTATTTAAGGGATAGGCAGTTGTGTACATTACGGCACTTAATGCCACTGTACAATGTAACATCCACTTTCACTATTTTATGTTACGATTTCCATGTAATATGGGATGAGCCTATTGCCATATACCGGGCATATTTCTAGACTGCGCGCTACTACTGAGGTTTTTTGAAAAAAAAAACCAGTAACACTTGCGACCACTCGGCCGACGAGGCAGTATTTTTTTCAATTAGGTTAAAACATTATGTAAACCTGTAAAACGAAATGTTGTTCAATTATTGATCCCAAAAATGTAATAGAAGTTATAAAAAACTGTGTAACAAACGGATATTTTATGAGATAGGAAGTAAATGATCAGACCATAGATATAAGTGAGAAGAAGAAGTGTTTTAATAATTCTGTGGAGCTGACGGATCACCTGATGGTAAGATGGATGGTGGAACAATCGAAGAAAATCGTAGTACTTGGTGCTTGGGCGTAAACCCGCAAACAAAAATTAATTAAATCATTCAGATGCGCAAAGCTCGTTGTACCCGTTACCGTGTCAAATTGTTCATGATTATGTGCCCCTACACTACCAGACCATAGATATAAGTAAGAAGAAGAAGTGTTTTTAATATTTTTGCGGAGCAGACGGATCACCTAATGGTAAGATGGATGGTGGAACAAATGTGCAACACCAGAACAGTATCAGGTGTGTTACCGGCCTTTTGGATAAGGAGGGGTTTGTTTATAAGGGGGAAAAATAATCGAATGACTGCTCCCGCCTCGGTGTGACGGGAGGGAGTGTCAGACTCTTAATGACTAAAAACCACCCCGTTCCTTCTCCTGCACGTCGAGCCGGAGCCCCAGTAACCCGTTAGGTTCTCCGCGACGGATAAGGAAGGGTTGGGCCTTAAGTAACCTCATTCAGATGCTATGAACAACTAAATATCGTTAGCAACACTTTTCATACATTAAATTTAACATAGAAATAGGAGATAATGGACTATTATTAAATTAATTCGTCTCGCATGTCATTGAAAGTGACCACATTGTTTTTACGACCAAGTTCAAGAACACAGCTAGTTATATATGCTAAAGATAATACATATAACGATATCATACAGTTTTATTTACTTTTATCTTATAGTTACCTACTATTTATCGGGCATTCTGCCTGGTTTTATGTCTTTTACTAGAGATTTCGGATTAAAACGACGTTTTTTGACTTATTTTGACTTGTGGCTGCGTCTGCGCATCTTTAGTATAAAGTCTAAATTATTTGTTGATTTTAATTATCTGGGTTTCTTAAAGCCATGGCTAATTATAATTTTAAACTAGCTAAATGTTCTTAACGACATTCAGCACAATTTTCAAAAAGAAAAAAATGTAGGTATTCAATATTTTTTTAAAGCTAACTGAATCTACATAGAAAATAGAGACAATAGGAAGAATGAATTAACCTCAAAACGCGATAAAAATGTAGGTAAAAAACTAACTAGTGTTGAATAACATGCATGACCTAAATAAAATTAAATCTAATTCATGCGCTTGAGTCGAATACGTATAAACGACCTGTAACGGTATTTCCTTTGTTTTCAAAATAAACAATCAAAAGGTGATTGAACAGCACACATTTTTTTTAATACTACGCAAAGAGTTTTTAACAAAAACGTTTCCAAAGGCTCGTAAAATTTAGGACATCTGTCTTCAGTTCTCATCGTACTTTGACGGACATGACAAGACGACAACGTAATAGAATTACACATATCTTTACCCCATGGTTTTGCTTGTCCAAAAACATCGATTAAACTTCTATTATTTTACGAAAATGAATTAAAATTGACTGTGCATTTTACGCGTTACTAAAATTAAGAAAAAATACAGTGTCTTAAATTGTCACTTGATCCAAAAAGTTTCGTATTGTCGCATAGATAAAATGAATTATATAAAACAAAATAGGAGTCTACAAATTGTACCAAAACTGAATTAGCATATTTTGTTATCTTTTTTTCTATGTAATTTTTTCAGTGTTTTTTCACCCTAACAACAGCTGTTACTAATTCAGCACATTTACATATATTACGGAGTATGGTATCTACTCACAAAACATTATTGGAAAAAGTACTTTTCATAGGCGACCTGAACGGTTGAAGAAAAAAAAATAAAAATTAATAGTAAAATACAAAGATGAAGAAATCCTATCCGAATGCGACAGTGGGTATAAAGTCTAAGCATAAGATCCATTGACCGAGACGCGATATTTATAAATCGAGATCATAATCGATTTACAAGTATCGAGAGAACTGCAGGTGGTGAGCCTATGAGGCTCATTAAGATTTAATTAACCAGGACAGGATACAGATAATGAAGGTCTATTTCAGTTTTTTATTTCGCAATACTTAAACCATTTTTTTTTCATGTGTACTATTTTGGATTCCGTATTATTACTGGGATTTTTCTTATCTATAAAACTACCATACTAACAACAATAGTCCATTCAGTAAGGGCAAACATCTTTTTGAAGTGGAAACCATGCTTGTAGATATTTTTTGGCTAGAGAGAAAGATTCTTAGGATATCATCACACCGATGATATCAAAAAACGGACACGAAGAGTTTTTTCAAATTACACCTTAGTACGAGTTTCTTCAACGTTTAAAGTAATCGAAACGAGTATGCGTTCGGCTCTCTGATTGGTTAGATCATTGGAGCCGGCCAATCAGAGCGCCGAACGCGGTCTTGTTTTGATTACTGTAAAAAAAACTCGTACTAAGGCGTATGAAAAATCGAGCGCAATGGCGTGCTACTAGAGAAGCCTAGCTCAATAGCGGGCTATTATAGAGGTCTATATTCAACAGTGGACGGAAACAGACTGATGATGATGCACCTAATGTACCTAAAATTACCAGCATAATGCATATTGAAAATTACCTCTTTACGTAGATACGACGTACGTGAAAATAAACTGCTGATCACGTAAACCATTGACATACTTTTAAAATGTATACATTTATTTATATAACATTTGAATTACATTACAATTCATAATAACAACTAAGTTTTAGCACGTGTGTTTACAAACGTGAGGTTTTTTCGTTTAAATACGTATTCAAATTCTTATTTAAATAACCTGTTAGTTACAGCCAGATATGAAAAAATTTTACTTGGAAATCAATCAACGTAAGGATTTTCGATTATTTTTAAAAAATTGTTTAGACATTTTTTTTAATAATTTTATTCATGACCATAGATCCAAGTCTTTCAGTCGAATACGTAGATAATTTGTAATACATTAATACTAAAGGAAATTGAATATAAAAAAAACTAGACAAACATTACTACTACAAATAAATGAGTAATCATTACTACATACTTCTAATTACATGTGTAATTACATTAATTATCCATTCAAATAGGTAGTACCTATTCCAATAAAATAAATTCTGCGTGAAATACAGAAAAAAATAATTAAAAAAATTTATATATTGAAAAAGTGGAACGGGATTTCCACATTTTTTTTAAGCAATTTATTATAATTAGTTTTGATTATTACAATGACATATGAACTTAGGCATGTGATAATTTTCATTGAAATCACGTATGATGTAACGACATCATTAAAACTATACATTTCTTTTTGCTTCTATCTAAGAAGAAATCAGGAAAACGTTGTAATTTTCTTACTGTTTTTGCTACTCACTGAATGAATAAATCACGTATTATTATTTTACTTAATAATAACGAAACTTTATTAGTTCTAATAATAATGAATTCGCTCGAGAAAAGGAAAATTACCGTAATTAGGTACAGCTACCATAGACATTTTCGAAACCGTTACCTTAAATGTCATAGATAAAAAAGCGCACAGTATCATATAACCCGTTCCCGCCTAGTGTACAAAGGAGGTCCGATATAAATTGCATTTAATGCGAAAAATGTAAAAAAAATGGCTGTCGTCCGTTAAGCTGTCATTACAACCGGACCTAGGTCCACCTGCCTGCGACATCCTTGTACGTAGACCCTAATATTAAGAGTCCTTACATTACCTATTAAAATTGATGTGAGTAAACTGTAAATAGCCTCAAGGTACCAGTTTTTATTATTAGAGGTATTAAAGAGTATTTTTCGATGAATACAAAATGCAGGATTTTTTTGGGTCAAGTTACTATGGGTATTATTATGTAATCTGTAAAATATATAGGTATAATAACAAATATTTATGGCATAAATTATTTTAGTGGCTACACAAATAAATATGTATTTTTTAAGTATATCAATTAGCAACACAAATAACTAATTTATTATTAAGGGCAAACGTTGGAGTATTAGTACCTAATGCAGATATGACATTATTGTGGTATTTGCTAATATTGCGTTAAGACATGAGGAAATTCACTGAACTGAGTTGCGGTTTTCTCAAATAACAATATAAGTTTACTTCAGTACCAAATTACAAATTTAATCTAACCTTATTTGTTACATGTACCTACGAACATTAGTTACTTAGATTAATAAAAATAACATCACTTTTTTAATTATCACTGGCAACAAATCGAAAAAAAAACATTTAAAAAAGAATACATACGGCAAAAAACTCCCAGATAGAATCCTGCGATCGCGACGGCAATTTGAACGACATCGTTCCTCGTATCATTGTCGAACTTCTTCAGCAAGTCACTCATGATGTAAGCTTTCACTGGCCGCGCATCACACTGATTCTTCACCATCTTTCCGACGCCCTTATCTTTTTTTATTTCGTAAAACAAAAAATAAATCGAATGCACCGATAACCCGACGACCGACTGATACTTAATTTGCATACAGAGGGCGCATGTTTAAAAAAATATTTTACAAAAATAAAAACCGACGAGCGTATGATTGACGCGATGTCTCGACTAAGAATGATATTGAAATGAAAGCAAGTTATGTGCTGACCCTAGCACATTTATTATCTATCTAATGACTCAAAGATAGATAGCTTGTTTTTATGTAGGGCTGTGTTTATTTATTTTTTAATTTTCTTTTTTAATCGTGTAAGCCCGTTGTTCCCGCGTCCCGTTCCTGAGCGTACTGGCCGCACATAACGTCTTTTACTTTTTCTGCGCAAGGGCCAGTGTTTGACATATCGCGTACTCCATTGATGGTTATTGATTACTTTCATTGACGTGATTGTGGTTAAGTTAATTAATTTATACATGACATGCCTAACTGAAATTGCATCGTAGTAGATGTAGTAATGTACTGCATAAATATAAACGTCGATATCGGTGTTCGTCAATTCAGCTTCTTTCTATTTTATGTAAAAAAATCAAGGTAAAAGACTAAGAATTAAATTACTTACCGTTACGAAACCAATTTTAGTGAATAAGAGTTATTTTAAGTGAGTCAGAAACTCTTTGGTGAAGGGACGTCTAGAAATTAACCTTTAGACAGGAAGCATTATAAGGAAAAACATAAGCAGTAGCAGTAAAAATACGTTAAAAATAACTAAAGGAAGACTTGTACGCGCATAACGGATGTTACGCATTAATAATTTTTCTAACAAAGTAATTATTACACAATTTAAGTATCGCATAATGTTTTATAGTATTTTTTTATGATTTTTTGATGGCAATCTTTATTTCATATTACTGCAGACATAATGTCCCCTACAACGATTTTACATCCATATTTAGGGTTTAAGGGCAAAGAGTAAGAAGACAAAAGAAAGTTTTAATTATCTATCTACTCGTTTCCATACACCATGAGATAAGCACAATATACCTCTTTAGTGGCAATTACTCATGTCAAACTCTAATTAAAAAATTGGAACATTGTCAATGCTACAAGAAATTGCAATGGACATATCAAAGACAGTTCAAATGTCGAAAGAGTTTTATAACAATCAAAACAATAGCCAATAACAATAGTAATGCTACTGTTTAAGGCGTACAATGATTGAGAATAATTTCTAGAAACATATTTTCGGTTTAACGATCGCTTCTATATGACTTTATGACGTACCATTCATTTGCTGAATGACGTAAATCCGATTGCAGGAGATGGCGGGAAAACCTACTAAGATGGCGGATGATTTGACATTGACAGTTGTGGAAATTGATTTCTAATTTTCACGAGAACCCTTGATATGCGTGTATTGTGTGTGAAAAATAATGTAATTTCGAGAAGTTTTTCAGTCAACCGGAGCACTGACAATGTAATTTAATGCAGCTGAGTACTAAAAAGTAGAAAATAAATAAAAGGGGACGTCGTAAATTAAAGACGTTTTTTTCATGTAGGTTAGTAATCTTTGCTGAATTACCTAAAAAAAGTTTTGTTATACTCGTCTTCCTGATGAAAAACATTAGCAAGCTCTTCATACAAAAAGTTATTTTGAACACACGTAAGTCCTAGTCAAGTCCTTTTGGGAAATGTGAAAGTATGTAACTATTTTTATTTCATTAAAAATAAAGATCAAGAGAAATATTTACATACGAACATCATCGAATCAAAAAGTCTTAATCACCAAGCAAACTAATTCACATTTTCATAAATCTGCAGGAAAATAACTTCTTTGTTTGTGACCACGCGGTACTAACGTGGAAGTTTCATTCCGACGCGGGAATTGAACTGGCGACCTTCATCTGCAGAGACGGTCAATGCGTATTCTATGTATATTGTGGATATCAGTACGGATTTAGTCTCATTAAATGTGATAAAGGCCATTAACGTTTTGAGCGCAAACTTTCGTCTGGGCGGTTTGTTTAGTTTACGAATTTATTTATTTGCATAACCTATGCTATTACCATCATGTCTTCTAATCTCTGAAAGGGTATACATAGGTTCACATACAAACATCTACTTATTTCCTATTATGTTATGGGTCCCATTCAAGAGGACACTATTCACTCTCAATATTGCAATCGAAACGTCAATAGTAAATACTTTGTCCGAACTGAGTGCCAAGCACGAATAATTATCGCATTCGTAACTTAATAGTCCCGAGCGCGAGCGCGTTCAGCGTTTTGATTGGCCAGCTCCAGTGAAGCAACCAATCAGAACACCGAACTCGCTCGATGCTGTTACGATACGAATGCAATAATTCTTCGTGCTTGGCAGTCTGGGCTCAATTCCAATCCATAGATTCAATTTTTTTTAATAAAATCGTGTTTGTTCTCTTGGATTTACCCCTGTGTCGTAGTGAGAGCGACACGTTACGAAGCGCAGCAGTCAGTTGCCCAGCTACTGCATCGACCGCATCATTGATCTTGCAGTTGTAATTCAACCAATGAGGTTTATAACCTCATTAGTTGAAGGATAATTATTTATTTTTTAATTATGTTGTAAGTTTTTTACAGCATTTTTATTTCCATAACGTTCTTACTTTATGTTGTAAAAGTTCAACAACAAAGCAAATAAATGGACGACACAAACAGAACATCTTATTTACAACACAGGTATTCATTACATGCATGTATTGATTACTTTGTAAATTAACACATAAAGCAACGGAAAAGCAGACTACATAATATGAAATGTAAATTTCACTCGATTTATTCATGTATATGAATCATGTCGCCTGATTTTATTTAGGTTAAGCTAACTATAATTTATTTATGTTTGATGAGCATCTGTCTGTTAGGTATCGATTTTGCGATAATTTAAAAACTTTATGATTTTGATGCAGTTTTTTAGCAGCAGATTGAGGTGTATGAAGATTTATTCATAAGTATTTTTCGTTGCATTTATAAATTCAAAAAACATACACATACCCAGCCCTGTAAATTCGTAAAGGCGCTTTTGCCGTACCTATTATTGGAATCAAGTATAACACCTCACACATAGGACCCACTTATTTTTTTATCTAATTTCCGTGGTGCTTGGTAACTGGGCTTCTGCCAGTTGTGCAGTCTCTTTTTATGCCTTTAGGCTTAATCTATTTTGTCGCCTGCAGTAATTCACCATGGGAAGTGGAAACCATCGTTTTTTTCTTCTCCTCTTATAATATTATCTTATGATTTATTTAGTTGCGGGAACTAAGACAGTTATTCATTCCCATCCATTCCCTGGGACACGCCGGACTTCAGTGTTCTGGTGTTTTCATGGTTTTGGGAGGTTGTGGCATTTGGAGCGAACTTGTCTAAATAATAAAAAAAAATTTAAAACCGCAGGCGAAGCTAATTTAGGTTAAATAAAGCTAAATTTATTTAGGTATCGCTAACAAGTTATATGAATCATTTAATTTCTTGGTATAGTATGTCCTAGAGACGATCAACATGTACGTGTCGGTCAACAAGTTAGGTCCAACCTTTGGACCTTACGTGATCGGAGACAGGTCCGAAGAGGCGCCATTTTGTAACCTTTGATACGTAGTTATTTATATCGAAACTAGGTGACGTATTATGGACGGTGATGGAGAATGGGATTTCCTATGCTTTCACTATTACATACCTAAATGATGATTGACAGAGTCACTAAAATGGGGCATATTAAAAAAAAAATATTATAAACTACGTTTAAAAAACCGACGTAAGCCCCTCTTTTCTGAAGTCAGTTAATTAATAAACTAAAACGTTCTCCTAAGTGTAACAAACACTTCTGAAAACCGCATTAAAATAGCTTCAGCCAATCGCGAGACAATGGCGCCCAAACATATACGTATGAATATACAGGTCAGAATGAGAACCTCCTGTTTTTTAAAATCGGTTTAAGATTTTTATATCATTGAAGAATTTCGTGTGTCGTGGTGGCCCGGAGGTTTAAGACGCCCACTTCTCATGCATGAGGGTGCGGGTTCGAAACCTACCAACGGCAAGTACCAATGTGACTTTTTCCGAGTTATATGTACTTTCTAAGATTATTTATACACCACTGACAAACGGTGAAGGAAAAACATCGTGAGGAAACCTGGACTTATAATTTCTAATTATAAATTTGTAATCGCCAACCCGCATTGAGCAAGCGTGGTGATTAATGCTCTAACCTTCTCCGTGTGAGAAGAGGCTTTGCTCAGCAGTGGGCATTTATAGGCTGTTGATGATGATGATGATGATGAAGAAGAATTTCGTAAAATGAACGCTCTAGTAGACATGTTTACCCAATATTTTTTCTTTTGCAGTTATAAAATTTGCCGTAAATATGTAGGTACACACGGCACACATCAATCTATACAAAACCAGTTTATCCTGGTGTCGCGTCGCATCACATTTAACGTTCAGTTTATACTGGTTATGTAAAGCTCGATGTGTAGCCGTGTGTACTAGACGTAATTAAATTTTAATGCGTTTTTGGGACAAGGGCAAAATAGCAGCCTGACCACCCAAGTGATCACTGATTAGGATCACTCTTGAACATCCACACGCAACACTAGATGAGTGAGAAGTGTGACAAGTGCGTTGAGTACCTACCAAAGATATTGTAAAAAAAAAATTTAGAGTAACGATGGAGTTTCTTGCTCGTTCTTCTCCATTCGAAACTCTTTGTCTTTGTAACGAGCGCCTAGCTTGACTGACAGACAGACAATTCAATTTTTGACGTTTCAAAAGTGCTTAATTGAGGATTAATTGAAATACATAAATGCTTTGACTTTGTTGCCAATCTTTTGGGGAGTTGTCTTTCCATCTCATTGCTTTTCTTATTCCAAAGAAATATAGACCAAATCACCTAAAAATCGCGGGTTACTCACTTGAATATACTGAGAAACTACTGCTCTACTAGTTTCGAACCACAGTTACCACCACCTCCCAGAGCTACGCGACATCGCCGCGACCACCCACGCTGTTCATGAGGAAGAACCCCTCTGTGGTTCGAAACTAGTAGAGCTTTTCTCAGTATATTCACGTGAGTAACCCGCAATTTTTAGTTAATTTAGTATGTCTCACGATAGTTATTATAAAAAATATAGACCAAATCATTATCATACTTCACACGCCTTTCTCGCCCCGCCTAAACCCGCCAGTCGTCACGTTGTTATTATTGTAACAAAAAACATATTTTATTATGAATTAAAGTTCAATGAACTGTTGCTACAACGCGTTATCATGAACAAAAGACCTTCAGAGTCCGTATATCTTGGCAATCGCAGAACAATAATATCGCAATATAACGACTATGTTTTACATAATAATTGATAGAGGCTTTGTAAGGGCGACTATAGTTATCAGTACCTAGTCATATAGATGAATAGACATTATATTTTTTATACAACTTTGTAGTAAACACCCTGAGGTCCTTTTTAAAAAGGCTGGCAACGCACTTATGGAAAAGGTAGTTACATTCCATGCTATGTAAAAGGGTTGCTTGTGCAGCATCCGAGGAAGGAGTCTCGGGTTCGATTCAATAGAAGTGCTATATTTTCAGATTATCATTTATTAGCGACCCGCCCCGGATTCGCATGGGTGCAATATTCATGTATTATACATTTAAACCTTCCTTAAAAATCACTATCTATTTTAAAAAAATCCGTTGCGGCGTTTTAAAGATCCAGGCATGCATAGGGACAGACAGACGGCGGATAGCGACTTTGTTTTATACTATGTAGTGATATGTGTAACTTTAGATTTTATAGAGACGTTTTTTTTTTTAAATTGGATAATCGTCCCATGGCGTCTCCCGCCCGGGTGAGGCGAGAAGGAGTGTCAGACGCTTACTGACTAAAAACCACCCACTACTTCGAGCCGGAGCCCCGACAAGACGTTAAGTCCTCCGCGGCTCCGTATCCGGCATCAGCAATATTTAGCTCCATCTTTGATGGCTCTTAAAAGCGCGAGGAACGCGACGCGCCATACGCTCGGGTCTGGTTCTGGTCCGCAGGCACGTGCTTACGGTGGCTGGAGATCATCTCGCGATCCCCGACGCCCGGTGTATAGAGACGTTGAGGCTAAGATTACTACATTAAAAAAAAAATAGTTACGTGGGCGATATCGTGCAACAATGCTAGTGGAATTAAACAACTAACGTGTGAACACTTTTATTTCATGACCAATAAGATTCCTTTTCGAACAACAGTTGTAGACTAGGTTAGTAGCCTTAGTATGTAATAATATCCTTGACATATTCGACGGCCAAGGTCCAAGATTCGATTGATTTACCAACTCAGTCCTATTTTAAGCATTCAATTAGGTAAATATTTAATGATAGTCGACTTGTGATTGTGGAGCCATTTCTTAACTTTAAGATTGAGTACCTATACAAAAATTTCGTTGATCGATTGGTCATAAGCGTAACCGTAGATGTTTAATTACGTACTACTACGGGTTGGTACTGAAAATCAGCGTCGTAGACTCGAGCCTTCGTGTCCGGGCTACATTATCAGTATTAAACTGTGCTCCAGCCTATTCCGCTGCGACGCACCATGGGCTTGTTGTTTGTCCTGTATGTTTATTGTGTGTCGTGGCGGCATAAATATATTTCTTTTTTCTTTTTTTGTTTCTTTCGTGGTTAAATGGTTACCAATAATTAAAAAAAAAATGTCATCCACTCGGCCAACGATACAGCTAGCTATGTATAGCCTGCATAGCTATAATTATAGTTAGTAGGAAAAAAAAGAAATGACTCAGACGCTTTTTATAGGATTTAAAAAATTAAAGAGGCAGACAAATTATCGAAATTATATAATTACAAGTAGGTACTTAAATTTATTTTTAAACCAATTTTTACCTAGTTCAGTAAAGTTGTACCAATTTTTACCTAGTTCAGTAAAGTTGTACCAGTTTTTACCTAGTTCAGTAAAGTTGTACCAGTTTTTACAAAGTTCAGTAAAGTTGTATGTCTATTTTAAGAAAGGGTGAGACAATAATAACGGAAGTACCCTTAACGAGCATGCATGAAAAGATTGATGACTGTCAATGAAGCGAAAGAGGTATGTAGGAATCATAGCCTTTGGTGCTCCATAGTCTCTGCTTACCCCATGGGAGACAGGTGTGAAGTTATGTATATGTATTGTAATAGTAAATGTTTTTACATAGTTATACATTTATATGAAAAGGTATTTAGGTATTTATTTTCTATTAGCTTTTACCCGCGGCTTCGCTCGCGTCACAAAAGGAATAGAAAGCCAATGTGACATATACCAATTACCAATACACACATTGCCATCTATACCAATCAATACTTTTGTTTTTCCTCGGGAATATCAAATTTTTCCGGGATAAAAAGTACCCTATTATTTAATCCGTACTTCTAACTATACATCTGCAAAAATTCAAAGCAATCGGTTTAGTAGTTACGGCGTTAAAGTGGAACAAACAAACAAACTCACTTTCCGATTTATAATATAAGTAAGGAAGTAGGGATGTAACAAAACCAAATAATTGAACTTTTTTTCTGATTCCAATAAGAATTATAAATAGGTGCTTAATTTTTTAATAAGTAAATGATAAATTTTAATACTCATTATTTTTATCTTTATCTGTCATTCATTTAATTATGTTAGTAGCTATTTTATCGTTAAACATGACAATCCTTTAAATTATTAACCATTTTCTTTAAAAACTATGTACTTCCTTTTTGAAGATGGTTAAAAAGAGTTTTGCAAATAAATTTGATTGTATATCAGTAGGTATATGGACAAATGTAATAGGTAACTGATATGTTAAGGAAAAAATATGTTGCACAATGTATGCTAGCATATTTCCCTAAATGATATTAAACAAAATACCTAACCCTTTTTGGATATAGTTAATAAAATAGGTACCTAAGTAGATGTTCCTCATGAATTACATAAAGAAGTAAGATTTGATTGTGAGTATATTTACACGGAACAGGCTCTGAAACTAGCAGAACATATTTGAGAAAATCTTAAACCATTCGCAATCATACTTTAATAACTAAGGTAACATTTATGTCAATATTCCTACAGAATTAGGACCTACCCACCTGAGAAAAAAAAAACTAATTTTACAGGTACAGTCAAGAATGGAAATCCAGTTCAATGTGTTGTTTATATTTAAAGTCTCCATGAGAGATAGAGATGTTTCTAAACGTAATTCGTTTTATTATAATATGTGTGAGTGTGTCAAATGAAGAAACTTAGTATGATGCAATTATTTCCCAACTATTTGAAAGACTTATGGTGAATTGACAAAAATGTTTATAAGCAACATGTTCGATAAAATTCAAACCGAAATAACTATGTCAACGGAATAAATAAAGGATGTAAACACTGACTTAAAGATATAAAAACAGGACCTCTCTGTGAATGTTATGAAAACTAGAAAGAGGATGGACACAATACAAAAAGGATGGAATTTTTTATCTCTACATACTTATACAGTCGATAAAGTACAAGGTCACTATAAAAATGCCACTCACCGATTATATCGTATATGCTGGCCGTATAATTATCCATAAAATATGAAATAAAACCCATTTTTAAAAACAGCTGATCACACGTCTATGTAAACACTAAACTATCACGTTCACCGAAGTTAAACTTGACATGAAAATAATACTGGTTCAATTACGAAATAGTGTATGCGCCATCAATTATTGAATTATGCTTTGTTTTGCTTTATTTTTTCATTGAATCGTCAGCGATTCGCAAAATCGCATTCTACAATTTGACAGATTCAAATTGACATTTGCGAGAAACTATTATTGACAATTTAGATACCGTTCGGAAACTTAAAATGTTAATTTTGAAATGAAACTACCTAGATAAATGGCGTTCATAGTATTAAACAAGTTATCTAACAACGTTCTTACAAGAATAACATAATTTGTATTACATTGCACCTAGTTTTCTACATTAAAGGAAATTGTGTTTTATTACACCTCATATTTATAAGCTGCAAAATTTCTGAACAGTTTTGAGTGTCGCTGAAAAACTATAAATGACAGACTGACTGTCGACTGACAGTCGGTCGGTGATTATTTGATTTCAATTCATGTTTTGAACATTTCAAACACAAATAAATATTTTTTTATGAAATAGGGGAACAATTCCGTAGAAATATCTAAGATGTTATAAATTTGAAGTTCAATTATTATAATTAAGGGTTTATCCATTAACAATGAATGATAAAATTTACGAAAAAATGCTGCTGCGCCGACGATTTTTCAAAAGAGCCTCTTTGATGGTAATCGCCTTTACCATTTCATTCTATGTATCGGTTCTTCTATTTGGTGATCTGAAAGCTCCACGAGTTATGCAACTGACGGACTTGGGTCGCTGTCCGGCTTGCTACGGAGTGTCTGTGTGTCCAGAACTGTACTCCAACCAAATTATTATGGAAACTCATAGATGGTCAAGCATGTTTAATACAAAGAACATTTATTACGGCTACACCAGGTCGAATAGAAGAGTTATTTTGAAGAAATTGGCACATAATTCCGAGCTGCGGACTTTTGATAATAGTCTGTGTAAAAACTTCAACCTTAAAAGGAACTGTAAGCCCATACATTTGCTGAATGCCTCCAACATTGATGATAAGTTGATCAAACTTGTGGAATATAACTTATCTGTGCCAGATCCAAGGCCTAGGAAGGGCCTTGTAATGTGTCCATATGCACATAGTCTCTACGATTTCATAATACCAGTACTCAACAGCAAAAAGGAGCAAGTTGATATCGTCAACATCTGGACCATGCTGAGTATTAACCCAGAACCTATTGTATTACAGGTACTTAAAATCTATTTTTCAATAACTGCATCTTCTATTAAATACTTCTGTAACAATACTTTCTTTTCAGGTGTTACAAAAGTCTAGTGGATGGCCAGTACCAGCGTATGCTGGTGTCTGTGGTCGTGTTGAGGTTGTAGCCTATGAGGGTGAACCTCTTTCGTCATTAACTCATGTGTCCTGGTACAGAAAGTTAAAGTTTGCTAAAAAAATCCTGGATGCTGCCATGGACTTCACTTTTAAACATGATAGGTTGGTATTGGAGATAATTATAATCTGTATGCATTGTTATTTGTAAGGCTTCTTGCAACTAGTGTAATTTAATTTATTGAGGATACGGAGATTACGCCTCTAAGAATGTATACAAAATTTATAATATAACTTCCATGAGACATAATAATTATTATGTATAAATTAATTATTAAGGTTTCCGGCTTACTCATGCATGGCTTGAAACTGGTTGAGTTCCTCATCATATAATTACACAAGTAAGTCGAAAACCATAATAATGTTATACAATATGGTTTTTAGGCTTATTACAGTGGATGTTAAGGAGTTTAAAAATTAACATAACTAAACATCTTCATTACATAACTTCACACATTGAATTCCTCAAATAATAAGGCATGTGCATAAAATAGTGCTAAATATTCTTTGAATTTTTCAATTTTACAGATTCCGGTTCTACCTCATGGATTGGTCAGTAGACAACATAGTGGCAAACGAAAAGGATGACATTACCTTCGTAGACCTTGAGGACATAATCATTTTAGACAAGCACATTTCACCGAAACCAGACTTACCAAATTGGTATCAACGATACACCAGAGAAGTTATGGGCACGGGATTCTCATTCTCCATAGACAATATGTGCAAACATCATCTAAGTGACCACAACATATGGGCGGCCTGTTTCATTCTGGCCGGTGATGAAGATCCTTATCTGAGTCCCATACCCGAAGAGGTTCAAACTTCAAAACCTCATTTGGAGAGATTACTGAAGGAGTGCCTAGATGGTGAAGACAGGTTTAGAACTATTACTAATTTGCAACATGTTCTTGGTGATATGCTCACTGATGAGAACATTGTAGGCTATAGTGCAGTTATTAGGTGATAAATTAATTATGACAATGGCGCTAGAGTGCTCTCTTTGGATCCGTAATAATTATGATGTGCCGTAGGTGTTATTTTGAAAAATAATACTCAAAAATTATGCTCATGGTGAAGTAATATTTTTACTTGCAATGTGGTTTTTTTTATTGTAAGTTTGTGATGTTATTTCCCTTTGCGGACTCTAAAAGAGAAGCTTTGTCCTTTATAAATTTAAATATTTAATTGTATAAATGTTTGGAATAGCTTTTGCTCTCAATATAGCCCTATAGAAAAATCTCATGTATTTGTTTAGGTATATTGTTATATGAAATCTGTGATATACCTCCAAGATTTATTTGTTTTTACAACAATTAAATTGGTTGTGAAATAAATTTTATGTTAAATAATTTTATTTATACATAAAAATATTTTAACTTGTTTTATTAAATTCTATATGTATTCAAAACCCAAAACATAGGTTTGCGAGTTTATAGAAGAGAATTGATCATTTATTTAAGTTAATTGATCATTTATTTAACTCTGGAAACAAAACCCTTTTGAATTATTTTATTCGCTTTTGGGAAAGCTTAGTACATAGCAAAGACCCCCACTATAATAATTATATTTATATAGGTACTCTTTTTTTTATGAATCCAATACTAAATTTATTGCACTCTAAAAAATTTAGTAAAGTTAATCCAAATTACTGTACAATACCAATATTGTCTGGAACAAAAATAATTGTGAAAATTAATTTAATAAAATAATAACTAAAAAAATTAATAATGAATGTAAGTTTCATTCATAATAAGGTTAAAAGCAACACTGAATTTTATTTGACAACTGACAACCGACGAACGTCAAACAAAAAGTTTGTCAGATTCAGATTGTAAAGAAAATGTATGAATGCGTTTGTGCAAGGTATAAGTAATATATTGCATGAACTATAAATTTTGAAATACCATCAAAGTCAGCAAATTTATTGGTACCTTTTGATAAGAAATGATTGATTCAGACGACGATCACGATAACTTTGTACGCTACGGGACAGCTTTAGATCCTATAGAAGAAGGTAAGTTTTTTGTTTACCTTTAATTTCTAATTTTATGTGAAAAACATTATTTTTTATTATTTGTGGTGTGAACATATACTTAAATAATGTTATAAAAGCACGAGATTTTGATTGTATTTATTCTAAAAAGTTACTACGTACGCGTGTGTGAGTGGTCCAAATGATACATTTTGAAATCATCAATTTAAATGATTTTGCACTATTTCTTATTATAGGATAAAATATTTTACTCAGATACTGTGTACACTGTCTATCGGCTAGGTAATCCTTGTTAGGTCGGAACTTTAGAGGTTATTTTTTTCATTTTTTGTTATCTATAGATTATCAAGTCTTTCATCTTTATATTTTAATCTATATTAATAAAAATTAAATTCCGTTCGTAAGTCTCGCTAAAAATCGAAAACAGCTGAACATTTTGGCTAATTTTGGTCTTGAAATGTTTGTGGAAGTCCAGGGAAGGGTTAAAAGGTTAGAAAAAAAAATTTTAGACGTCTCGAAATTTAGCTAGAAGCTGTTTGTGTTGTGTTTTTTTTTAACTTAACTGTATTACATACATACATACATTATTGTACATTTTTACAATATTTTGGGTAAGCTTGGCAAATTGATTGTTATGTTCAGAATTTTCTTTGGATATAATTAATTAAATTAGAAAGTATAAATTAATGTTAATAATTCTTTTCATATACATATTATTGATTGATTTTTTCTCAATACATGGTGCCCACAGAGACTAAAACATTTCATGATTAACTCGTCGAGTACCGGTTTTATAGACACAATTAAAGAACAATAGGTCGCGGTCACCGGTGACCACTTGGTGTTTGACAGTTTAAATAAATTGATAAAACAGTTAATTTATAAAACCTAAAAATGTGTGCACAGAAAAACAGCTGATCAACTCAAGAATTTTTTTGACTCCCAGATTACACCGGAAGCATGCCGTCTAACAAAACTCCGAGCTTTGGAAGTGCTGCCAAAAAGAGGTATATTAAACTTCGCAAAGCAAACATTGCACCGGAAAGAGCCTTAACCTTATGTCAATTACCTTGGAAGGATTTATGTACTCAAATTCCTGGCCTCGAAGATAATGGAAAAAAAGAAAATTTGATGATGCAAATTCAACCCCCTGAACTCAAAAAGAAAAAAAAGAAAAAATCTAAAGCTAAAAAATCACAGAATTATCGACTTGTTCAGAACCAGACCCAGGGTCAAAGGTCTAAGGGTGTGGTCTGCAGTGAACGTGTAAGAGCAGAAGAACAGGGAGTGCGATGGAATACAAGAGATATATGTACAAATTGGCAGACTGAACCTTATAAACCGAGAAGTCCTCCTAATGAATATGCATCAAATTATAGATCTAACGAATTAAAAACAAATGAAGGAAATATGCAAAGAGATAGCTCCCAGCAAAACTATTGGGACACTGCTAGTACCTCCCAAGCGAGAACTCATTACCAGACTTCAAGAAAACGACATTTTGATGATGTGGAAACTATTAGTAATGGTTCCCAGCCCCCGCGTAAAATGACGAGAGACGTCCGTATAGACACAAATTACAATAGACCTTCGAGTGGTCAACAATATCCAATGGAGATAGAATACAGTCCCGTCTATTTGAATGGCGGAAACTCACAGACTCAAGCATACAATATGCCTGTCCAGAATGAGTCAAGAGGAACTAAACGCCCGTATGACGACAACGGCGAAAGATACCAATATCACCAACTGTATGATGCTGAGAATCCTTCTTTAAACTTTGTACGGAATCATGAGGCTCGACCTCAAATAGATCTTAGGGAGGAAATGAACAATAAAAGGCGTGCTTACAGTGAAAACTATTATGGTGACCAAAATCGTCCTCGGGAAAATTATTCTTCTCGTGGTAGTTCAAATTCAGACTGCCGTTCAATGTCGGGGTCACTAAATGCAGCAAGGGTGATTACAGTCGATTCCGATCGCGATGATTTTGATGCTAGATGCTCTAGAGAGATGTCTTTTGAACCGCACACCCCAGTCGGTAGTGATATTCAGATCGACGATAGTGAAAATTTCAACAATAGAGTTGTCAAAGCGCACAAATTTCCGATAAAATCAGATAATCAAGACGAATCGCAATCGATTCGTGTTGGCATTCAAAATGTCACCCCGATGAACAAGAAACAAATGAGCATGGTACATCAAGCTATTAATAAAGAAATTGTGAAGATTGGCCAGCAAGGTAAAGGACCTAAGTTCTTAGGAAGTGCGTACAAATTAGGTTGGATCCTTATGATCTGCGAAGATCAACATACTCGAAAATGGCTTGAGGGTATTGTGACGAAACTGAAGCCGTGGCCTCAAGCAAGCCTCTCTCTTATGTCTAACACTGCATTCCCGAAGTCTATTGTCTTGTCATTATTAATACCGAGCAAAGAGGGGGTTTCTATTCCGACGGCGCTGGAACTGCTTCGTGTCCAAAACCCTGGCCTCCATACAGAACATTGGAAGGTATTTAAAATATTAAAAGTAAATGAAGGTGACATTGTACATCTTTCAATTGACAATGCATCGTACGAAGCTCTAAAACTTGTCGATTTTAAAGTCAATTTAGGAATAGACAAACTTACTTTTTGGCCCAAAGGTAGAAAACCTTATTTCAAATTCAATAAAAAGTCGAGGAACAATATATCACCCATACAATTTGTGAAGGAGTATGATGAAACACCAGCATCATCAGTTTATGAGTATGAAGAACCAAAAACACCTGAACATCCTCCGCCAGATGATGTTTCAGTGAAACTGTCAAAAAAGGCTCGCAATCGGTTGAACAAACGTATGAGGATGAACTTAGCATCCACGTATCCCACGATACACGAAAACGTTCCGAGTCAAAAATCCGAGTATCTCAATGCGTCCTATGCGTCATCAGAATGGGTACCATATTAATAAGCCACGTACAATATCTAACTATAGTCCATCTGTTTAGGTAATTAACTAAAGGTAAACAAAGAAAACCACGTGACACAGAGATACTTAACCTACTATTACTTCAAATATTTCTCGTGTTTTAATTTTAACTAAATTCACTTTAAAATCGTTCATTTGTCATACACACACATACAAGTACAAATACCTAAATCGTACAAGAGCCTAGCCTATGGGTCTATATCATTATCATGTTTAAATAGGAACTATTCTGAATCTGATGTACGGATTTCTTTCTTGTACGGATATCTGTCTTTGGGCCAAGTTTCTTCAATATATTTAAACACATTAATTACAAACGATGAATAACCTAAACTTAAATAACTTAATAACAAAAACAAAACAAAGAAACAAGTTAAATTCAACAAAATAGGAACGCGAGCGCAAACGACGAGAGAGCTGTCAATGGCGCCTGATTAACCGACTAAACGTAATACACGCTACTTTCATTGTCGCGCTACATCTTCGTTGTACTCTTTAATTTGACAACATTATTTTGCTTCGTTCTTAAAGAAACGTTTTGGATACCTGGGATTTTAGGCTCTTTATGGTGTCTATTGTAATGAAATATTATATTATTTAATAAATATTATTAAATTAATATCCTCAAGCAGATATATTTAATATTTATTAAGAAATAAGTGAAAAGGAACAGAAACATAACATTTAATAGAGAAAACTGTCGTAAAAAGGGAAACAATTTTATTTTCTTATGAAGTATTTTGAATCATGGAAATGTCAACTATAAAGAACTCTTTTTATGGTTTGTTTACAAATAGTTAACTACCTAAACAGACGGAGTATAATTGTTTTAAACGCGGAGCTATATAGAACGGAACGCCCCCGAAACGCTAGAAAAATAAAATGCTTTTATAACTTTAATCGTTCTTGTGTTATTCATGCAACATCAGGCTTGAGCGGTTGATTACAATTATTATTACAATAAAGAAACATTTAATTCCTTACTTTTATATTAAACTTGGTTTTTTACTATCATCTGTTGGCGTTCTTCGGGAGCGTTCCTTTTACACGTTGTATGCATTACTATTTAAGTGCTTGCGCAAAATATTTGTGTATTTGACGTAAAACGTATTGTATACGAAGCGATTTTTACACAACATTTTTAATTCAATGCAATTGAGCATGATCGACATTTTTACTTGATTGTGGTAGCTGTTCTATTCGCAGTATTATGATAATTCAGGACTTAGTAAACACTTTCTTACGACCTTAGTAAAACGAGTAAAGAGTTTCTGCACTCATATATTGACATATTTCCTCAAATTTTTTTATCTATTCATCAACAGCCTATAAATGCCCACTGCTGAGCAAAGCCTTTTCTCACATGGAAAAGGTTTGAGCATTAATCACCATGATCAATGCGGGTTGGCGATT